ACTTAGAAAAACGCCGGATGTAATTAGGGTATCCGTCAGCATAAAATTCGCCAGGCAACTGTCAGCCTTGCCAGCGGGTTACAGTACTCTGTCCAATACTCCATCAGCACAACATGCTGTGACTAGCATGATTCATCGCTGAATGCCAGGCGGTCCGGGTCACGTCAATTTAATGGGTGGCTAGAACCAACCAACACCAACAGTGCAACACCGAACAGCTTAGTATTTCCTCATTTGGCATTGCCAACACCAGCAGCGTGAAACATCATTTGGTCATCAACGTCACTCTGTTCCATATTATGGTGATCTTCAGTTGGCACGACCGTCCTGACTGAAATAGGCTTAGATATTCCTAGTGTGGTGATCCCTCATTCTTGCGATGTTGTCTGCAAGAACGTTGTACAGATGCCCTCTTGCTCCTTGCTGTTGCAACGTAAGCCGGTCTCCATCGATACATCTTGGCCACTTAACTCCTGAAAATACCTCACGATATTTTGCTGCACCAGTTCGTCACAAACCGTGATGCACAAACACAATGTTCAATGTTCTTTGCTTATATTTAAATTATGAATCGAAAGGAACTGCTGCACAACAGTCATTTTAAAAGGCAAGGAATCAACTCTTTTCAGAGTTCCATTCATCTCATGATGGTATACACAGTTAATACAGTCTTTACTTTGTCAGTTTCACGATCTGCTGCTGAAACAGCGCAAAAACCTCCGTATATTTTGCACCTATTTTAACAACATGTCCAACAACACGCTATCTGTCGTATTCTGGGTGACCTCCAAATTTTGTCCAGATGCTGTCTGTGACCATCTTGAAGTAGCGGCTGTTTTCTTGACCCCCTCCAAACTGCTTGATTATCATCACCCTCTGTCAAAAGGATCCATACCTTGAAGACAAAAGACAGGACAAATCGCTATTATCGCGTGATCAATCAGCTTCAACCAGAGATTGCATTTTTGCCATGAGGAACATGTTTTTAGTCAGGTCTTCAATCCTGATAGGACGGCTAATGTGATAACTGAACTAACTAAGTAAAACATCCTGTTGTGGAGACTTTTTTTTGTACAGTGCTTCTGGGCAAAGAATCATAAAAGAGAGGATGTCAGTCACATTCAACATGGCCATGTCTCCATGGAACAAGTACACCTTGTTCGGACCTTATGACTTTATCGCCAACCCAGGGAGGGAAGACGTGCATGTACTCCTTCAGTGCTCTTAGACTCTCCACGTGTCACACTAAGAACAGCTTCAATCTCAAAAGGGTAAAGAGATTACCACAGCAACCTCAGAACCACAGCTGTTTCACACTCCTCGTGATGCACGAACGGGATGGCACTTTCTTTCTGTGTAAACCTGCATCATCAACGATAACGACAACTTTGACAGAGTAGCTTGATTCATCAGTGACCATATTGTGAATGCAGCTAACATTCAACAATGTCTACACCGACCACCTGCCCATTTACGCAATTCATGAACCTCAGAAACCACTGTTTGCTAGATTTTGATTAAGTCTATCACTTGAAACGAACTCATAAGCACACTTCACTGATTCGCGTTGCTCATATTCTCTATTATCTAACAACTGCTCCATGTTTTTGCCGATCAACTCGAAACAACGTTGCAGGTAAAGCGAACGAAGTAAAATGAACTGCTTTCACATTAATTAAAGGCGCTATGGCGAAACGACGCAAATTGACATAAAGTACATATAAGAAGTCGTATTCAGTGAATATTCTCTGTAGTTGCTATGGTTGTCATCAAAATTTCACTCTTCGGCCATGTGATGGTACGGGAGTATACGTATTAAGTTACAAAGCTGCACACAGTATGGATGGCCTATAATAAACCTCTAGGATTTCCGGGTAAGAAAGATATAGCATGGTTTGTTCGTAAGCTTTTTATATCCCGGTATAATGCACATGTTTATACAGAGGCTGTAATATATTTTAGTAACCTTAAACAGTCCTAATACAACTGCTGTAGAAGTTAAGCCTGTCGTGAAACTTGAATGGCGATTAGACGCGGTTGAAAAATTTTATATCCTCTCCGCGTGACCTTCTACGATAACTATGCTTTCTTTAGTAGACTGGACAAAACGACCAAGGGCTCCGACAAAATAAACCATAATGAATGACGGATGGCTACTAACATCTACCGTCCTAGTAAATCACACTAGATGATCTGGTGCGTCGAAAACGTTTTTATACTCTTGGTCGTCACTTCAAAATTACATGGGAGGAATTATTGAGGTCTAAGTCCTGGAAAAGGAGAACAAATTTTATGCATAGTCAAATATCATACCATTTCGGCTGTACTTGACAGAACGCTCCAAAGGCTCATGAACACTCCAGGAAAAATGAATAATTTAGAAAATGAGCGAACAGAGAAGCTACGCAATTGAGTAACACTCTGACCGTTTTCTGTTAAATGGTGAAGCAGTCAGACGAAGTTTCACTGGCTTGAACAAAATAGAGGATTCACAGTCGAGGAAGCTAATTTTAAAATGATGCAGTGATTGATGGTTATCGATTTAAGCTAATTAAACATTAATGAGCTTTTATGAAAGCATATCCGCGTATTTATGGGGACATTTTAGAAAATATACGAGCACATGATTAATCGAACCGTACTTCGCTTTCCAGTGAACGAACCAGGAAAATGAGTGGGGAATGGTTAGTTCAAGCGATGAAGGAAAACTTGAACGCAATGAGGCATGGGAGTTTGCCATGCAATCTACCGAATGATTCGCGATTATTAGCAATTCCTTAGAGCGACATGTAGCCTCTTAAACTCGTCTTAGCTTTACCGTACTTTCTGCTTCAGCATAAAAGCAGTGTTGGAAGATATTCTATAGAGGGTTTCATCTGAACATCAAGTACCTTGAGTTAATGAGTGAAACGTTTTGATGTCGCAACAGTTTGCCTCTATCCAGTGCTATCGTTGCACGAATTATCTCAAGAATGAAGGACTGCAGCGGCCAGGTTATTAGATACTTTGTTACTTTGCTATATGTTGCGAAGCAAATATGATTCTATTCTCTTACGGATACAGATGATCTCAGCACATACTGAGACTATGAAAACGTTGTCCCTGCTAGGAAAACTGGTGGGATACAAACCATTAACTCTGGACCATGAACTTCTCACGTGGGAGCAGAGAAACGACATACTTCGTCCAGAAGGCAGGCATGCAACATGGAAGAACAACGTAGAAGCAGATCTGTTTTAGAAGAAGAACATTTCCTTCTATGATGCAGCAACAGTGCATCGTAGCCAAAAGTTGGAAAGCCGCGAGTGCTGAGGACCTTGACCAGAGACGTTCTGCTTGTGCAAACGGCTGAAGGTGATGACTTCAACAACAAACACTGTCGATGACAAGCATAGTTAATGGTATTTACAAGTTCTATAGTCGGGTAAGGAGCCAATATGGCATAGTAGATCCGCAAATGCAACAAACAGGAAAAACGATACAGGAAGTGCAGCAGCTTGGCTGACTCAGTTCAATAATCTCCAGCGACGGCATGTCCACTTATGGCCCCTTTTCTGAATACCCCTGCAGTTTGCTTTCATCAGGTTAGCGCCGCTGTACGACAGAGAGGTAGTTCTAGCAATGGACCAAGGACGATGGTCGAATAACCACAACAGCGCAGGTTTCGAAATATTATGAGGGTTAAACGGCAGGAGCATCTTAGAAACTGTTTTATTCTCTTTCAATTTTTATACATAGGTACATAGATGAAGAACAAGACAATGGTTCTGTTAGACAAATAAGCTTTTGATTCCAGCCTGCAGCTGTCCATATGGGAGCCGAAACAAAGGAGACGTCGTAGAACAGCAGGCCAATATGCTCTAAGAATTAACAAAGCAGAGGCGTGTCAGAGTTCTTTGAGGAATTATTCCGCTTAACGTATAACAACTGATACCTTTTACCAAAAACGTTAAAAAACTGCGAATGCATTGGACATCACCATCAACGGATTGTTTGAATATGAAAACAGGTGAAAGTGATGACAACAAATAACAAAAACAGTGAATGGCAAAGTTGAAGATTGGCTTCTACATTTACCCCTGATAAGAGTAGAATGACATCATAGTGATTACATTTTACGCAAAGTTTAATATTAAAACCGACTGGATCCATGAAATAGGACAGGCAAATTCGTCATGCCTGATTCGAGCTTTCTTCAATGAGAGGAATGACTACGAAGAGACATTTAAACAACGCCTATAAAACAAGCTTGTGATAAGACACATTGTTTCTCGTAGCTAAGCTGTTACATCTTCAACATAATCGAACATTCTACAGTAATAAAAATATAAAGTAAAACATGGCAAAATGACCTTCATCCAAACATGCATCGGCAGAAAGTTGGAAGGTTTAATATATACGCATATACATATGCGTTCTTTGGCCGGGTCGGAAAAATCGGCTTCGAACCATAACAA